AAGTGAAGCATATCTTTTTCTTATAGGAGTACTTGCTTTTGAGTTTTTCTGTGCATTTTAGTTTTCCCTTTTATTTTTTAACTTATTAACTCTGACAAGTAACCTCTTGGTTGTGAACAATTTAATTCACAATTCATTTTTCTGATTCAAAGTGAACACGAGTGCCCTAATCCCCTAATGGGAATTAATTGCATGTTTCAGTGCTTAACTCTGATCCTTTCTCAATCCCCACTGGGACAAGTTTCTTCCTGAAGGATCTGTGTTTGCTATTCAAAACACAATCTGAAAGGTAATGATTTTTCTTATAAAAGGGAGTCAGAGCAACCGAATATTAATGTTCTTTTTATTGTAAGGGAATGAGCTTTATCCAAAACCTCATTTTATGTCAGGAAGGGGAAATTACACTGAACTATATCTGATAAAATACTGAGCGAATCCTGGTGGTCTTTTTTGTCCATGTGAAAGTTGTTTAACATAGGTTGCTTTTTTGTGGTTGGTAAAGAATATTCTTTTATGGAAATGAGTTGTTTCCTTCACTGAGAAAAAATTACCATGTCAGTAGTCAGAAGGGACACTGGACATTTTAAATGACACTCCTGTTGACCAGTAATGTGACCTTGTGATTAATCTAGCTCTAACCCATCTGCCATATTTGGTAGCTCATGAAAACAAGAACAAATAGTGGAAAACATGTTAATCCTTGATTCTGCATTGTTTTTAAAGGGTTTCATACTATTTGAATATTGTTTATCAAGGCTCTTTCAAAAAGAGTCCCAGGCTCTCCTCTGATGTTCTGTCTGGCAATTAGCTGCCAAACTGCTGTGTTGGGTGAAACTGAGACAGCCTCCGAGCAGCTTAGTGACTGATGGAAAAATTTGGAAAAGCACCAAACGGTCTGAAACTGCTTTTGTTACACAACAACAATGAGGGAGGAAGGAGGAGATACTCCGAAAGATAGCCAAGGAACAGTGAATCTAGGGTTTTTCATATCTTTCACTATAGCAACCCCTTTTTCCTTTGTAGGGTATGTGCAAAATTAAGCCAAGACTGAACAAAATATTTTTATGGCCTGGACTGTCAAAGTTTGCAATACCTATGAAATGCAAATCACAGCAGGAGGTCAGATTTGACATCTGAGGAGGGCTTGAACAGTGTGTCCTGTACCTGCCTCTTGCCACCCATTGTGAACACTGAAATGTACAGATTTTCTTTCAACTGATATGTGTGCAAATCATAATTTACTGTTCAGGCAGGAAAGAATGGCCCTGTTGTCAGTGTACTTGTGAGAACCACCACCTCTGGTGTTTTCCACTCAGTATATTGTTTGTCATCTGATTGTTACGAACACAAGGGAGAACCTAGCTGTCTAAATGCCTGGGTCAGGTACGTCCCTGCACTTTTAACTATAGCTTTTAAAATACCACTGATTTCATTTCAGATCTAATTTTTCCAAGCATCCCACGCAAATCTGGTATTATTTAGATTATTTGCAGTGTTTGAATTCACAAATGCTGACTCATGAAGCTGTTACAGAAAATTCTTCAGTACATTGCACGAAACAACCCCACACTACTCTAGGCTTTTCCCACTGCAGTCTTACTCTGCCTCTCTTTGAGACATTGCCTTTCCCTTCAAAAGCTGGTAGCACACATTTGTACAGTCCTCTCATGTCAGGGGCATTATTCATCCTCTCTTCTGCTAAAGCCAGAGTTCATCCCTTGTCTTGGTGAATGTCCAGGCTGTATATATTTAGTTCACTGCTCCTATGAACATTGCCACAGCTTTGCTCTTGCTTCATTTCCAATTTCATGTTGTGACCCAGCTTGTAGCATTCTATGGAAAAATAAGCCTTCCTATCTCTCTCTCTCTCAGCTAAATGTTGTCGTGCAACATAGCACGATCTTGTGTTCAACCACTTTAATTTTGTTATCAAATGACTAATGCTATATTATTCCATGAAACAAGTAGACACGCAAGCTCCCATACTGAAATGGAGCTACTGTAATCTGTGAGAGCAGAGATACAGTTTCTTCAATATCGAATATTACTCTAGCAAAAAGGTCTCTGCTATGGGGAGGAATGAACTTAATGACACATTTTCTTTTATTAGGGAAGAAAACACCCAAGCAGCTAGGACTCCAGTCCTCTGATATCACTAGACTGAATGTATCAAATGCAATCTTAAAGATTCCTGTCTTCAATCCTCTGTTTTCTAGCCATACAGGTATATTTAGAAATGTTACTGCCACTACACAGTACGTGTAAGTTAGCTTGTTAAGTAAAGAATTCTTGCTGTGGTTTTGGTAAAGGACATAAAAACTGTATCCCAGTGACAAAAATAATCATCTTGGTTTGTCACCAAGTATTGTCCCGCAGCAACTGGGGGAATCAAGAAGCAATCTAGTTTTACTAAGGTTCAGAAACATAATTACTGTAGTCCATTACCCAAGTTACCTGTGTGCACGTACCTCTAGAATATGCTACGTTTTCAACTAAAAATGTTTTACAAAGCAGTTTTCTTAGTAATACTTATTTTTGTCCTTCTCAGTTCCTTCTGTAGGTAGAATGGCCCGTGTCTTCGTGTATGGTACCCTTAAAAAAGGCCAGCCTAACTACCAGCGCATGATAAACGGTACCCATGGGATAGCAAAATTCCAAGGCAGGGGCCATACTGTGGAGAAATACCCTTTGGTGATTGCAGGAAAATATAACATTCCTTATTTGCTGAACATGCCAGGAACAGGCCACCATGTTGCTGGAGAGATTTATACTGTTGATGACCAGATGCTGCAATTCCTTGATGAATTTGAAGGCTGCCCAGACATGTATCAGCGTACTCCAGTGAGAATTGCAGTAGTAGAGTGGAAAGGTAAAAGCAGTGCACCTGAAGAGAGACCAGCTGTTAACAGCATTATGGAATGCTTTGTGTATAGCACAACTACCTTCCAGCCAGAGTGGGTAAATCTACCATACTATGACAATTATGATTCCCTTGGGAAACATGGCCTTTGTTATGTGCTCCGTGAAAGTAGAGATTAAAAATGGAAGATAACGACGTACCTGAAGAAGATGCATTAAGCCTATGTTGATCAGAAGCCTCTAAAGTAAAGCTATAACACCATGGATTGAAACATAAGACATCTGTAAACTTTCAGCCACAAACTTTATTGTTTCTAAGGTTAGGATAAGGCCACAAACCGACACCTAGCCTTATTAATTATTTTTGCCCTCTCACCCAAGGAAAATAATTGGGGTTTTTCAAGTGGTGAAGGATATACTTTTGGTTTCTGCACAGTATAATCATCAAAATAAAAGGGCAGATAAGTTAACTTATTTTTTACCAGATTTGGTGCATTTTCATGACAGTTTTGCAAGCCTGGGAAAACAAGATGATGAAATACAGCTGAAAACAGTACTCTATGAAAATAACTCAGCTTTAAATATTGGCTTTTGTATTGGTATTTATTTTACTGCACAGAACAGCAAATGTGTACTGAATCTATGTTGTGCTGCATGAAAGAATTTAGATTGATACAGAAACCATGGTAAAGAGAATTAAGAGCAGACAGAATAGAAAAGCATGCCTGTTGCTCTGCATTGTAAAATAAACTTCTGGATTTTATCTGTTAAACATAACTGGTTAAAGGATCTCACAACAATTCTTATTATCAACTTAAGTCTAAGACATCACTGAGTGAAATCTCAGGAATATCAAAGAGTTAAATTTAAACTCATGTTTTCATTTAGTCCCAGTAGACCAGACTAGCACTTTTGGTGCCATTACGGTCCACTGGGTAAATCTGTGTTCAGGGACTCTTAAAACACTGGTTTTAACTGCCCAACACGCTATAACAGATATATAAGCGCTGTTATGAGCTCTTATATCAATAAGACATTAGCTAAAAGTCTTGAAATCTTTCATGAAAAAATTGCATGTGTGTGCAAACTAAGCTGTCTTATTTAAGGGGAAAACATTTTTTCAGTCATCATGTAAACCCCCTAAGGATGTGGTGAGTTAGGTGTTTAAATCTGTGGCAACATTAGTTTAAGGCAGAGATTTAATCCTTTTTTCCCCCTCCCCTTTTTGCACAATTTGGACAAATACTTCCCTTTTATTACTTGATGCTACCTGATCTGTCCTGTATGTTCTTTGGGTATAACATTAATAAACCAAATGTTACATTTAATATCCAAACTTGTGACATTAGGGAAGTTAAATGTATAATATTTTTCCTGTGGAAAGAATGTAATTACATTTTTAATGAGGCTTCTTGCAGTGGGCAATACCATGTCAGGACTACATCCTCCCCTTGCTCCACAGCACATATCCAACTGATGACAATGGGAGATTTGCAAACTGATGTAGGACATAATATATTCTTATTAAATTCTTAAACTTTTAATTAGTAAAGTTACTATTGCAGGATCATTCAAGAGGAAATGATACAGGGCACTTGAAATGCCCCAGTAAGATATAATCGGTCTTTTTTCTGACTGCCTAACACAAGAGTACACTGAGTCGCATGTAGATTTTCTTCAGAATTATCAGGCTAAAATATGTTTTGTTTTTTTAATGAAGGGCAATCTGTAGAATCTGACCTAGGTCCACTTACACATTAAGCAAGCTGAGAGATTGCCACAGCCTGCTCCAAAACTAGGACAGTGGAATGGAAACATTATTGAATATTGAATTAAAATATATTGATTCCTGACAGGGTAAAGTGGTGAGATACAGAACAGGAAGTTAAGCATGCTTGAGTCCTAACCTGACTAATTCCTTTCTGCGCTTTGGGCAAATCAGCAAGCCTTTCATTGTGCTACTCTTCTCTGCGGGCTGGGAGATGGGTAAAGCTGGTGGAATGGTGCTTTTAATTTCTCTCCCTCTGCATACATTAAGGACATTTGCACCATTGTAAAGGCAGTCAGTACACTAGTCTGAGTGTCCTTAATGGACATAGAATTTCAGCCTCAGTTTCCCTATTTGTGAAACAGGGATAATAATTATCTATTAAGCACACAGTTGCAAGTTAACGTTATTCTACAGGCATTAGTTAATTATCAGCAGTAGAAGCAGCTCAAGAAGCGTTATATTACCCTCTACCAAATTAACTAGAAATTGCCTTCTAGCAAGGCTCACACTTTCACACTTGAGTGTATATACATCTTAAATCAAACATCTCAAGCAAAACAAGCCTTTGGGTAAAATATGAATTTGAAAATAAAAGTCACTGAGATGTGCCTAAGTCATATGGATGCCTTTGGAAGTGTTGCCTTTTATCCCTAATATATAAGATGCTGAGAGTACCCCCATAAGTGGATGAGATCCTTCTAGTAATGGTTAACTGGAAAAAGGTAGCATTCATATGTTCCCCACCCCCGCAAGCCCTCTCTGGTCAGCTTACTTTTGGGTGGTTGCAAAATTCAGGGCAGGACTGTTGGACAGTCAGGTTCATACAACAAAGCAGCAAACAGGTTTGTGGAAAGTGAGCACAGCAGGCACTGAGTATAGTCACTTCACAAAAGAATGTGCCATGGCAGGATGATGGGGAGCTTATTTTTTGGTTGGAATAAAGTATAAACTAAGCGTCACCTCCAGGTGGTGATTCAAAGTAATTCAGGTGTTGTACAATGTTCATAGCTTCTTCTTGGTTGGGACTAAAGTAACATTTTTAAGCATACCATAAGAATTATTCCCATAAAGCTATGCTATAAGTCATAAGTGTGGCAAAACTGTAGTCCTCAGTATCCCCAGGTCACACCTTCCTTTAAGCCTTTCACACTGTCAGCAGAGGGTAATCACAAACTTGGAGTAAATAAGTTTCTCTCTTAAGCTGCTTTTTTTAAAATTGAAGATGTTTTGCAAAAAATACACTGAATCCAGAGTCACCACCAGCTGGTCTGGTGCTCTGAGGCAGTGGGAGGAAACTAGAAAAATACAGAAATTCATGCTTACCAATTAGGAAAGGTCTTGCATTTTGTTCTTCATTACAAATGCTCTTGTTTGGTCAATGAGACGGGTATCAATAGAGCATCTTATAGCAGGAAGGACTATCACTCTATATTCCCTCCATGTGCACTCCTTTTCAGGTCGTATCTGACTTCTCTTATTGCATTTCCAGTTTCCTACCACTATAAGGCAACTGTACACAGTGCTAAATCACTAATCGTCCCAGTTCTTTTTTGTGGAGGTACTGCATAGTAGCAATTGGTAGTCTATTAAATGTAGTAGACTAGAGTTAGATCTTCCTCTCCTGTGAGTGCTTGGAAGCCTAGACACTTACAGGGAGGAAAAAGCTGCCTCAAGCATCATCTTGGGATGGTTCGAAAGCTGGGTCAACTATTTCCAGAAGAGCCTGCATCAAGCAAAGAGTGGAAAGGAAAATGAGGGAAGGAATCTGAAAAGGAATACAATTTCTGGAGGTCTGCGCATCAGACTGTAGGAAAAGTCTGCCACCAGCAAAAGAAAACATTGTAGGTGTTCTAAGTATATTCTGTGCAGAAACTTCAAAGTGCTAATGAATATAATAAATCTGAATAGAAATAAAGTCCTTTGCAGTAACTGTTTAATGCCTATGACACTCAGTAATAGCAAAATTGCTCAGTTTGGTCTTTGGGGATTTTTTCACTTTTACTCATTACTTCATGAAAGTGGATTCATGCCCATATGAACTAACATGGCTGAAGTTATTTACTTAAACACTCAAAGAGGCTTTAGCATTTTTAAGAAGAAATACTGATTTTTTTTATTGAAATTTATTGGATATTGAAAATCAGAAGACAGTTACAAATCTTATGTACAAGTATCTATGTATACAAGTAAAAATCTGAGATCTGTTGTCAGTTTTGATAGCTGCATGGGTCATCTTCCATTTATGCAATAAATACAACTGCAAAATCTGCTGCCTGGAAACATCTGTCTTTCAGATTTCCACATAATATTGCCTTCGTTTTATATTCCCGATAGATAGACATAAAGAGTTCATTGACCTGGATGAAGACGTGAAAGAAATGTGTTTCATTCCAGTTCCACCAGCAGATCTCCTTCTCCAACTGTCTCACCAGCCTTACAGTGCACAATTTTCACCTGCAGTTAGAGACAGAAATGATTTTAAATCTTCCCAGAAAACATGGTTCAGCTTTAGTTCACACAACATATGTTAATGGATATGCTGTAAAGGAGATGCAGAGTTAATGGTGAGTTACTGAATTTGCAATACAGAATAGCTTGGGAGATCTCATCCTCTAAAGGTATGTAGGCACCCCACTCCTGTTGTTGATAAATGTTCAAGACCTGGGAGGATTTGGGCCTCAGTGTCAGAGTGCACTTACAGGAATTACAGCACAAGACATTTGGGTTTTGGTTCTTTAACTGTTTGCTCAGTTCCTACCAAACTCCCAGCCTGTAACACAGGAGCAGCTTGACTTTTCAACATACTCAGTTTGTATTTTTCATTGAAATACAAGACTATTAAAATGAACACTGCACTTTATCTCCTATGTGCATGGTTCTTCCTGCGAAGTTGCTGCTGCATTAGCATATGCATGCGCAAACTGTTCATTCAAGACAGAGAACACTTCGTTAAGGTGGCATCATACCAGAGTCCTATGGCCTTTGTTCCTTTCAATATGTGAGTATGGGAATTTAAAGGCCCACATTAAAATGATGGAGAAACTAGGAAACATGAAGTTAACACCTTCCAGGTACTGCTTCTGAAATGTTCTGAGTTGCAATCAAGGAAATGAACAAACATTAGAAAACCAGGAAATACAGACATAAGGTGGTGGTTTCTGCAAAAGCTAGTAGTGCCACAGCTTTGACCCTGCTGTGGAGAGATGCCAAGAATTCAGAACATCACAGACTGTTATCCCTTCCTGAAGAGTCGTAAGTAAAAATAAAACAGAATAAAAAAACCCACAAAGAACCTAAATTGTCAAATAACTGCAGCTCTAGAGGAATCCCACATTCAGTCATGGTTTTCTGAAAATGTTTTTTCGCTTTCTACCAGCTCCACATACCTAATATATATGAGACTAGACAGCATATATGGTGCTTCATTGCTATAGGGGGAATTCCAGATAATTATGTTTGGAGCTCCACTTCTTTGAGTGTACATCCACTGCAATCCCAAAATTGTGTGTGCATTTCATGTAGATTTACATAAGCAGTGTCTAAACCAGTTAGCATGGGTACTGATGGCAGAACGGCCAGAGCAGCCTGCAGAAGATACCATGCTTCCTCAGCTAAATTGAGGAGGAGCCAAGTTAGGTTTGCTATGTTTACCCAAACTGCAGCTACACCCCTGGATTGCACTGGAGACATTGTCAAAAACAAAAAAAACCCCAACACATGAAAGTCCTCCGTACTCAAGCACATTACTGGACTTTCAAAACAGATGTTTATTTCCAAATATTTTTCTCCCTCCTGCCAGGCTTCTGTTTAATCTTATATTAAACAGAAGTCCCCAAAATTTTGGAATAGAAAACACACTTTACTTATAGTCTGAACTCAAAAATCTTCCAAAAGACCCTTCTCTTCTTTTACACAAACCTAAGTTTCAGCAGAAACTGAAGATCACTGAGTCCCCTCCCCTGCCCCCCCTCTCCCGCTGCCCCGTGCTACTTGAAAGTTTCTGGAGGTCACTGTGGCTAAATTCTAGTTCTGACACACGTACGGTTACCCCATAAATGCTCAGTCTGGAGCCAATATAAGTCCAGTGAAATCCTCCTTCCTTTACTCATTTTACAATCTCCTGTAACAGGCACAAATTAAAAAACAGATAAGCCCTAGTGAATTGTTTTAGCAGCTAAGAATATAAAAGTGGGGTTTGGGTGTTGAAAGTCCTGACAGAAAAAAGGGAAATGGAAAATCTTCCATGCGAAGACAAATGAAACCAAAGGATATGAAGTAGATTCAAAAGAAAAAAAAAACCCCCACAACTAGTCCAGTGCCAAGAATATCAAGTACTTCACCACTGCCTTAGCATTGGGTTGCATTCACAGTAGGAATCATAACTTTGAATTTTGGAATGGGTGACCACAGCATTTTTCTCTTAACATAATGATTTATATTTATCAAAGGCCCTTAATAAACAGACTTGGTAAATGAATCTCTATATGTTCCCAACTTGTTTTAGTTTTTCTAAAGAATTGCATCATCTTGTTATAAAAGGGAGACCTTTGAAAAAGCAAAATAATACTCTGTGGTAGACAACAGGCCCAACTCATGCCAATGCACGATTTAGGTCCTAGTTTAAGGGTTTGAGAGGGACACTGGCCGGGTCAATTTTACCCTGATGCAGAGGGAAAGGGCATCTGCAGAGGGACAGATGATGTCTGTCACCAGATGTGCATGGAGAAAGCTGAAAGACAAGATACTGGGTTGCAGCGTAAACCAGTGGGAAAGGAAAGTTTAAACTAAGAACGGGAAAGCTTGGGTTTAAACAGCAAGCTGTGCCTGTGGGAAACTAGGGTGAACAACAAGCAACGATTAAGAGGATAAAGGAAATCAGCAAAGATCAAATCTAAAATTCTGACAAGTAAGCAAAAGCATAAGGAAAAATGACAGGCAAGGCCTCGTAGCAAAAGAACTTCTCGAAGGCTAACAGCAAAGACTCCACGGTGTAAAAGCAGGAAATGAGAAAGGATGTGAAAGAGTATGCGCTGCTTCTTCCACCTGTCATTTCTTTAGTGGATTCTGATTCTGCACCAGGACTTGCTGCAGAAGGGGAAGCTTGGGTCCAATCCCTATCCAGGGACTGACTTTCATTATTTCATCCAGAGACCATTTTACATGAAGTGCATAAATCAGCCCTTGGAGGAGTGCTGGACACTCAGGTCCATCCCTCTCCCAGGCAAGTGCCCTCATCACCGGACTAGAAAGTCCTACTCCCTCTCTCCTTGTTCCAATGCACCTGGAATTCTGTTTTGAACAGCAGTCCGGCTCTCCTGTTCCCTGGGCCAGCAATTTAACCACCGAGCTTCTGTGCAATAGAAGGGCATTTCTTTCTGCTCAAAGAGCCTGAGCCTCTTTCTGCTCTTCACTGGAAAAGGACAAATTAGATGCTTCTGTCTAGCTTAGAGTTTGGGGCTGTGAATCCTGGTGTGACACAGGAGCTTCCCTGCAGTCCAGAATTAGGTGCTTAAGTCCTCAAAAGCGGTGAGATACAGCCCTGCCATGAGCCTTTCTCATGGCCCGCCCTGCTCAGCAGGCTGCCTGTTACATATCTCACTCTGAGATACATAATTGCCCCCCACGCTCTCAGTGAGGAGTTCACTGTACCCAACTCAGGCTGTGGGGGTTCCAGTCCAAGAGGCAGGCTCCTAAAAGATGTGACACACAGCTTTGCGGAAAAAGTACTTCTGCAGATTTAGCCCTTTGTGTGTAACAGCCTCGTGCCTCTACCAAATCTCACAGATACATTTGCTTGTAAGGTTAGCCTTGTTCATCAATGCTGCAGAAATACTCTCCGTGCCTTGTTCATTATTTGCATTTAATGAATTAACTTGCAAACAGATCTCTTATGACTCCCTTAAAGTATGGAATTTGGAGAAGTGGCTGCAGCACCTTCACCTTTCAATCCCACTTCCCAAACTTCTCTATCTTAGAAAAACAAATCATTTTGAAGAACTAATTTACATTACTTCTTGCAGCCTGTAAAACCACTTCATGCTGTGTCATCTGAGTCCGGTAACTAAGTTTCTATGCAGATCTAAATAAACATTAAAAATTAAAGGCATTTCATTTCAAAAGAGCTAGAGTGAAGAACGATTGTACTTCTAATACTGTAACAGTCACAGCTCCCCTCCTCCTTCAGTAAACTCCAATTTGACAAGTTGCACACAGGTTAAAATGGCATAAAGAAACATACCTTGCCAGTTTTAGCAGCAACCAGACTGTTCTGCATTTTCATAGCTTCGATCACACAAATCTCTTGACCTTCTGAGACCTGGTAAAATTTAAGCAGTACAAAATAAGGGAAGAAGATTTTAAAATGCTCTAAACTTACAGTATCTTTCTGTACAAAACAGCTATTTGTTCCATAGGCACCGTTTATTAAAGACTAAAATGTGTTTTACAGAACAGCTAAACTCAACTTGTCTCACACAAGTCCACAGCACAATATGACGACATGCTCTGGGTTGCCGCTGGCTAATCAAAATTAGAACAGAGAAGGAGTAAGACACAAAAACACCCCTCAAAGTGATCCTCCCCCCACACATCCCGCATTCACAACTTGAACTTTCTACACTCACGTTCTACAGCCGTCATAGTATGATATCAATAAAGGCCAGACCAAAATTTAATTTGTGTGGATTTGGCTGTGGAGCCTCTGCTGTGCTTCCCTGGCTCAGAGCCCAGGGACACTAATCCTGATTCAGAAGCCAAAAGTTTCTTGGCATTAGTCCTGTGGAGCATGGACCAGAGGCTTTGACAATACCCAGCAGACTAGTGCCGAGCAAAAAGTCACGCCTTTGCACGTGTCAGGACATATATGGTGGCTGATGACTTCAGACGGACTTAACTGAGCATGCTTACTGGGAAACACCAAGCTTTAGCCACAGGGGAGGGACCACAGGGGCAAAATGGTAATTTTCACCACAGCTGATGGCCCTTAAAGAGAAACACTCAAGTTTCCTCTTTCTGCTTGTTTGCACTCTGCTAACAGGCATATGCAGGCCTGAGGTCATGAGCAACCCACTGTGCTGCTCTGCTGCTGGGCTGGCTGTAGCTAAGAGTTAAATTCTCTTTTCGGTGCCTTTGACTATGCTGCACAACGGAAACAAGCCACTTGAGGTTTTACGCTCCTTCAGCAGCTTACCTATTTATGAGGAAAAAACAGTGTGGTCCAAAAACTCATCCCTGGCACAAGCCCAAGGACTACAAGAGGACTCTTGGATGCAAGTGATGATCATTCAGAGATGTCAGCCCATGGATTTATGGTCTGGATGGAAGTGGAGCTCTACCCTGAGATCTAGTAGTAACTCACTGGTAGCTTTGTTGGCTGCCTATAAAGGATGTACTTTTCCTGAGATGTCTGGGTGATCTTCATGGACAGCCTTATAGCTTAGATTGCTCAGTGTCTTTGAGCTGTGTCTTCCTTTCTTGAACTGTTCAGGTGTTTAAAGCTGTTTAGTTTGAAGGCTGTTTTTGTTGGGCTTTTTTCATACAAGTCCCTTCCAGCCCCTAATGTTTATGAAATCTATGAAAGTATATAAAGCCTGCGATTCCCCATGATGTCAAATTTAGGAATAACCTCCTTGTGAAGGAAGCTGTATGCAATGTTACGCAGGCATCTTCTCTCAGTGTATCACTACCTGGGATATATCTAGGATAAAGGTTTAAACAGTTTGGGAGGGTCCTATCCATCAGAGATGGATGAAGACAGAGTGAAGAGATCCTGTATAGGGATATATTTTCTTGTCTTAACAAGACCTGTCTTAGGAAGATACACGCTAGCAGTATGTGTGTGTCCCAAATGCTGTTTTAAGCTGGAATTAATTGTGTATTTTTAAACAATGGCTGCCAAGCATCAAACTCTACCATGCAGAAGCAGTCAAGCTTCTGAGCAAGGCAGAGAGAAGAAAGTCAGTAGTAGACAAAAAAGAAGTGTCTACAATATCCCCCAACAGACTGTCAACAGCAATCTGGAAGTTTTGGAGTAAGTTGTATCACATATTTGCTAGAGAAACACTATGTCCAAATTTGAAGAAACAACCAACACTATAAATACTGCAATTCCATCTTGAGATTCGGGAAACAAATTTACATCATTAACAGCCGGAGCTTCTATGTATAGCATCACACACTTGCTCTTTGTTACGAGTTATTTCCCCTCTATTTTATCTCCACCTGTCTTTTGTCTCTCTTCCTCCACACCTGCTGCTCTGTCTTTAGCCCTCTTTTCAGTAACTCTCTCTCCTTCCTGCTTCTCATCTTTATTTTCCCCTCCCCTCCCACTGTTATGCTTTTCTTCCATCTGCTCTGAACTCTCCATCCATCTCTGAGGTTACGAGTGCAGTCATGGGTTTGGAAGCTATTAATGTATACGGTTTGGTTTAAAAAAAAATCCAAACCTAAATTAAACTAAGAATTTGAAAAGTTTTTAATGGGAATTTAAACAAGAGAAATCAAAACCAAACCCAGTTTAGCTATGGTTGACACTCAAAGCTACAAAAGAGATACAACAGTTCCCATAATGACCCCTTAGAAAGGTTCAGGGCCATGTAAAAGGAGACTGGGCTTCAGAAATTCATAAGAGCTGGGAAATTCAATTCCAGGTCTCCTACTGAGTCAGTGCACTATCAGGGGCCAATCACTTTGGTCATGAGTTTCAATTCTGGGTTCTTCTGATTCGATACCTACCTTACCAGTTATTGGGAGCTCTGGCTAGTTTAGACCTGTGAAAATCTAGGAATTTAGGGCACGGCAACACTACCTCCTCAGGGGGTCAGGGCCATTGCAATGAGGTTTACAGGTCTGGACACGGCTCCTCACAACATGGATATAATGCAGTTTTTTTTAATGTAGTACTTGGAATAAGCCAAAATACGTTACATCTGTTTTGGGAGGCAGCAGACTATATCCTAGCACAGGCTACAGGCGGTTCTCAGGCTCAAGCCCTAATTATGGAGTTGGGTGCCTAATTTCAGATGTACAAATGGTCAGAAAATTTAGCCCAAGCTGAAGTTCCCATCTCTAAAATGGATCCATTGATCAACTGGTATGCAAGCTAGTCTTTTAGATGTTGTGTGCACAGAGCTTTGAAAATGTAATTATTCCTTAAGTGCTAAATAGAGTTGTGTCTGTGCATCTTGGGTGTACTGTACTACAAACAGCATTAAATACTACTGTGATGGATAAGTGTGAAAACCTGTATTTGGAACCTCCCAGCTTCTGTTTTGTGTTTACAGGATGACTATAAAGAGTTGGTCTTTTATAGGGGAAAAAACACACAGACAAAGTAAGAGTCAACATCCTGTACTCTTGTTAATTTAGAAGGAAGACAGCATTTTCAGTAGGTCCCCATGTTAAAATGCTGTGACAGCCCTTTTGATAATGAGCAATTTGTTTAAAATTACTTTGGCAAAAATGTCACTTAAGCACAGAAGTTTAATCATTGTCCTTACGTTAAACCTTTATAGCTCCTTTCATTGTGTTGCAAAGCAACAAATCCTAAAATTAGGCACTTGTACCTCTCTATTTTCTCCTTCTCTCTTTTGGGCTTTGTCCAATTTCTTTCATTACATAATTGCATGTATCCTTTAGCCTGTCTGTATCATTAGGCTGTAAATGAAAATCTTAGCAATGTGTATAGCTTTTTCCTCGCTCCCTTATTTAAAGATAAATACGGGCTTTCCAAAATACTGTACTCTTTTCATAAGGTTAGATTTCTTCCACTGTATGTTAAAACTATGAAATTCAATTCTGATTTGCAATTATCATTACATTTTAAATTTACAGTGATGACCAAGATCAGTCAAAACAAATACATAAAAATAAACAGAAAACAATTTTGATTGATCTGAGCCCAGGAAACTAACTTGTGCTTTCTGGTAAAAAGAAACAAAACAATGTCCTTTTTAAAAAAAGTTTTATGCGGTACAGAGACCTACTTTTATACTACTTGGGTTAATGTTAATATGGACATGAAAAAATGTATTTAAACTTGTAAAATGCATTTTTACTGCAACACCAGATATTTTAATAATTTATGTTTTTAGTTCAGTTTTGTAATTTTATCAAACATCCAAAATGGAAAGAACTGAAGTGAAGGGCACCTAATGTTCAACTGTTTCTAACAATTTAGACATGAAATTTAGGAATGGTAAATAGCACTGATTGCATAACTTAGTCTGAATTTAAAAGAAAATATTACAACAATATATGGAACTGTCTTCAATGTTTTTCTAACCAATAACTGAGGATGAGAAATGGAAGTGGAATTTGAAAAAGAAACAACACCAAACTATTTCCATTATACCAGAGGAGGAACGTAAAGATAATTGTATTCTCAGAGAAGACTTTAAAATTCAGAGGTACAATAAGACAACTAGTATCTGAGGACATTACCACTACAAGATCTTTATGAGTATAGTGAACTCTAAGACTTTTGTGAATCATTTGATAAAGACTTAATGATTGTGACAGGATGTCTTCTATGTTAGGCTTACAAAATGGTCACAAGCCCCACAAGTCTTTTTGATAAACCCAGTCAGCACTGATGTATTTCTCCACTCTTTGTCTAATTGGTGTAAAGTTTGTAGATCTGAATCCTGTATCTTTCATCCAGCTTACTGCGTCCTCTCCTTTGACATAGGGTCAAGGTTCACATTCGCATCCGATTATCAAAGTGGCACTCATTAAGCAGCAGCCTGCCTCGCACCAAAATGAGTTAGCTTGAAGGAAAACTCAGCCCATTTACTCAGCAGATTTCAGCATTTTAAGGAGGCCTGAATGTCACACAGTATTGCTACATTTTGAAGAGTTTCAGACATCTCCAGCTGATGATTAATTGTGAGTGATGGGAAATAAAATCCAGTAAAGCCAGCTGCTTGCCATGGTCGGCAAAATTACTATAATGGATATAGGCTGCCAATTTTCCAGTTTTACTGGCAAGTCTTCCAAGTGTAATTAAGGGAAGTTATAAATGATATGGAAATCTATCAAGTCCCATAT